CAGTCCCTGACGAAGAGTCCCTCTCCAGCATCCTTGAAAAGCCCCCTTCAGATACTGGAAGGCTGCTATGAGGTCTCTGTGCAGCCTTCTCTTCTCCAGGCTCATTCCATCCACCAACAGGCAGAGGAGGCTTCCAGTGAAAGCAGGGATGGCTGCTTCATGTGAGAAGAGCAAGAAGCCAAATGCAGGAGGACTGAGAAGAGGTGCTAGTCTGATGCATGTGACTCAGGTGAGACAGATGCATGGACAGTTGAGCAGGATCAAAAACTGATGTGTCTCCAAAATATGCTTACCAGATACGACTAGTCTAAACAACTTTCCTGCATTTGTCTTCCCACTGTTCTCCATGAAAATGAGAGTGTCGTCAAAGCTCCTGCCATGCTTTGTGCTTGCTAGGGCCTAGGACCAAGTGGGAGGTGGGAAGCTGGGCTCCCATTCACCGGCTTCCCACTGCTTGTGCATGTATAGGCCATTGTGAAAACATCATGCAAGGGCGTCAGAAGTGCTCCAGAAATAGAGCAGAATGAAAAAGCACACAAGACTGCCCATGAGTCAACAGCACCATGCTGCAATGGGGAATGTGAAGCTAGCAGGTTCAAAGAAATGATTATCCTCTTGACTTTGTACCTGTGAGACACAACTGGGTACTAGGTCCACAAGAAGATGGATATCTACATCTGCATTTACGTCTACATCTACAGCAGGGACTGTAGTGATAGGAGTAATTGCTTTAAACTTAAACAGGGGAAGTTCAGTTTAGATAAAAGGAAAAAGTTCTTTACTGCGAGGGTGGTGAGGCACTGGCACAGGTTGCCCAGAGCAGTGGTGAATGCTCTATCCCTGGCAGTGTTCAAAGCCAGGTTGGACAGAACCTTGGGCATGGTCTAGTGTGAGGTGTCTCTGCCCATGGCAGTACGGGTAGAACAAGATGATCTTAAGGTCCTTTCCAACCACAACTGTGCTATGATTCTATGATCTACATCTGCACCTACACCTGTATTAGAGACAACCAGCTTTAGGAAGACAAGGCAAAGAGAGGAGCTACCTACAAGGGGACACAGAGAAACCAGAGCCCAACTCTTTCTCAGAAACACACTTAGAAGAGCAAGAGGCAACAGGGACGAACTGCACTAGGGGAAATGCTTGCTGGGCTGTCCTGGGCTCAGCAGCAGCAGTCATTTTTCTCCTTCTTAGTAGCTGGTGCAGTGCTGTCGTTTTGACTTTCAGCCTGGGAACAGCACTGATAACACCGATGGTTTTAGTTGGTGCTCGGTAATGTTTACTCTGACCAAGGAGTTCCTCAGTCTCTTGCTCTGCCAGGGAGGAGGGAAAGCCGAAGGAAAGCAGAGACAGGACCCCTCACCCAAACTGACCAAAGAGGTATTGCATACCACAGCATGTCATGCCCAGCATATAAACTGGGGGGAGTCACATGGAAGGCTCAGGTTGTTGTTCGGACTGGGGTGGGTATCGGTCGGCGGGTGATCAGCAGTTGTATTATCTCCCCTTGTTATTCTCCTTATCATTATTATTATTATTGGTGGTATCAGTAGTGGTTTTGTGTTATACATCAGTTACTGGACTGTTCTTACCTCAACCCGTGGGAGCTACATTCTTTCCGTTCTCATCCCCATCCCTCTGTGAGCGGGGGAAGGAAGAAGGGCAGGAGTGAGTGAGCAGCTGTGTGGTTCTGAATTACTGGCTGTTAAGGAAAAAATAACTCTGCACAAGAGTGGTGTAGCCATGGTGCAGCTCTGGGACAGGGAGGTGGTGACATCCCTACCTTCAGAAACTTTTGAAACCGCACGGGGCAGGGCTCTGAGCTACCTGGTATAGTTTTGCCACCAGCCCTGTGTGCAGCCAGGGTTGGACCACAGACCTCCTGAGCCCCTACCAGCCTAGAATCCACCTGATGCTCTAACACACGTTGTGCAGTGGTGAGGTTGGTGATGTAAAGATGATTGCACAATGTTGTTGCTTAGCTGACTTCAGAGATGGCTAACATCAAGCTGTCGCCCACACTTTGGCTCTTCCATCCAGCTGATGCCCCTGTTACCAGAACTGCCTTACATCCCCTGCTGACTTTACAAGTTCTGGTACCATGGAGAAACTGGATGAGCTGAGCATTGGAGAAAGTAAATCACTGTGGAAAAACTGTGCAGATTTAATGGCAGGCTCTAAGGAGAAGCCGGCATGCAAAATGACAGGTCTGCGATAGCCAGGGATGGAGTTGCTTATAGTAACAGTCAGAGGGTTGCAAGTTCTGGGTTACATGAGCAGCAGCTCCTTTGGTCATGCTTTACTCTCTTCTGGAGGAACAGAGGTTTGGGCTCATGTGTTCGTGGTTTGTCATGGTTCATGTGTTTTTCCACTGAAGCACTTGAGTATTTTTAGGCTGAAAGAGATGGCTCTGTGCTAAGCTGGAAGGATCAGAGCAGCACTGTGCAGGCACAATGCTGCTGCTATCTCCCCGTAAAGTGAAATACAGAGACTGGAGTATGAGAATGAAAACTCACAAAACCCCGTGGGGAAAGGTGCAGTAGGAACCACCATCTCTGGCCACAGCAGGGCTGGGGTTGAGGATGGGAACAGGGGGTTCCAAGCTGCTGGCTGGTGGCCTGCACACACATTAGCTGCTAGGTTCAGATAACTGTGTAGGACAGCATCAACCAGTCGCAGTGTTTCCTGAAGCTGAGATGTCTACTGTTCTGAGGGGCTGCAGAGACCCACCACTTCCAGGAAAACAACCTGGGCTCCACAACCTGGTGCACTGCCAAGGCAATCGTCTCTGCAGGGAATACTGGCACTGAGGTCCAGCACACAGAGCACAGCTTGGCCAGCGTTGCTAGTCAGTGGGACGCAAGGGAGCAGCTTCCAGAGGGACCAGTGCAAAGCTCTGAGTGCTAGTAGCCGTATAGAGATCTTGTCAAAAAGGACCTGTGGATGATGGTAGATGCTAGGTTGAACACAAACCACACACCTTGAACACAAACCACACATCTACCATGTGAATCAAGTCTCCCCGAGGAGAAGCAATGCCAGCACATACCAATGCAGGATGGTTCACGTTGATCCAGGATGCCCTGAAACAGACACATTTGAACCACATGTTTGGCAAAGGGATAGGAAGTATGGACATGGGATGATGTGGGCTCCCATCACTCTGGTGCAGAGTTGTAGTGCCCTGCTGGCCTCTTGCTGGCTGCTCCCCACAGCCTGGCCTAATGACAGCTACAGGCAAGCTTCTGTTTGGAAAGAATTTCACATTTTCCACAAACATTCTCAAAACTAGGAAACCCAGTTAGGCACAGTGAGTCTGAGAGGGGGCTGTGGCCTCAGGTGGAGAGAAATAGAGGGAGAACCAAACCAGAATCTGCAGCAACCAGGACATGCAGAGGTTCCCAGAAAGCAGAGAGATCAGACCACAATGTCTGCTCCAACTCAGCTTTACTGAACATTACAAAATACTCTGCATATATTTTCACATTAAAACAATATTCTTGCAAATAAAAGATTAAGTCTTGAGTCACCCACGGTGCCCATGGCTACAGAAAACACTGACTCAGCTAGGGATTTAGTATGGCCCAGTATCAGCAATCAAAACCAGAATAAGGCATACCAGAAATGCAAAACTATATAAAAACCTTTTAAAAACTTCATGCTCATCCAGTGGAACAGGTACCAAGCACAATAATAGCCTTTGTTGAGCCTTGCTGACAGCACCAGGGGGTACCACCAGCTTGCCTGCTCCACACTGGGCTCACTCACCCAGTACATCCAAGTATCCCCAAGTGTCACTTGCTGTCCCAGCACACCCCTGTAGCTGGAACAGGCAGTTATTTACCTGCTCTGGGGCATTACCAGCCCAAATCCCCATTCTTCCTTCAGAGGAGCTAGTGCTCAGCTGCTGTGCTGAGCTTTTGCATGCAGAGCAGCTTTTGGGGAGCAATTCTTGGTCTTTGGGGTGACACCAGGGCTGTTGCCACCGTATCCTGCCAGCCTCTCAGGAGGGCCCAAGGATGGCTGGGAGGTGGTGGCAACAGACCTTGAAGATGCACTTGGTTCTCACCTATCACCCCTGTTGCTGATGTACATTTGTACCTGCTGCTTCTTCAGTCTTTGCCCCATGACCAGCCCTACCAGCTGATGAGCTCCAGGCAACTGGAGAGACTGGGATGCAGGCAGGATGAATACCAAGGTTGCTATGCGGGGCAGCTGCCCCCTACCAAAGTCTGAAAGCTGAACACAGCATTTCTGGGAACACATCCAGGCCATAGGCATGAGGCTGGCACAGCAGGTTGGCTGCTAGAGGAGCCCTAGCATGCAGGTTCACTAGTCCAGCTCCTCGTGGACCCAGAGCCCAGAAGGGCTGCACCCAGTCCTGAGAAAGTCATGGCCTTGCCTCTGTGATACCTCCATAACCCAGGAACGCCGAGCTGCCATGGCAAGAAGCCCATCTCTGACCTTCTAGGTGCATCCATGCATGCTGTGAGGAGCCAGCACTGTAACCACTTAAAAGTCAACATCCCACCACCACTAGGTGCTCCAGCACAGCTCCCCCTGCTCTCCCCAGAGGTCTACTCACAGCAGGTTGGAGATCAGCTCCACTATGCTCCTACACCCTTGAGCAGCCACAACCCATTAACCAGCACCCACACACCCCAGGGCAGCACAGCCACTACAGGATAGAGTCTCCTTGGGATCCCAGCCCTGGGAGGAACATCTCTGCCCTCCCAGCTGCAGATACATATCCTGAGAGGAAGAACGAGGTTTGGGGTCTGGGTGAATGGAGGCTGGTACCTGCTGTTGCAGCAGAAATCCCAATTATCGACCAGTTTGTATCAGTAAGTGCATAGGCAAACCCCACCCTGGAGTGTAGCTCTGGGAGGAGCAGCAGGTTCTTCTGCCACTCCTGGAGTTTATGGAGATACACAAGCTTTACAACTCAAGACAGCAGAATGGCCACAGCCCTCATCCCTTTCACTGCCCACAGTGTGCCCTCAGAGGTGGCTCGCTCAGTTGAACATCAGCCCCCTGGGCTCTGCGGTTGGCAGCACCCTGCCCTGCTTCTCTGTGGCCATAAAAAGATGCATTTCCTGCTGCTCTGCGCCACTGGGGTTGCTGTCACTCTGTGGCCGCCCATTCTTAGAGACATGGCTGGGGAACTGGAAGCAGGAGCGCTGCTCCGGCACGACTTGACTCGCAGACTGGGGTTGCTCCTCCAGAACAGGGCAGGCGAACCTCCTGTGCTGAGGTCCACTCTCGATGCCTGGCGGGGAAGCAATGCTCTCCAGGGAGGAGATGCTTTGGTTCCACGCCTTCTGCATATCCACTGGCACGATTTTGGTGGTCTCCGAGGAGATGTAAACAGCCAGACCAGCCTGGTCTCCTTTCCATGGCAGCTCCTTCTCTGCCAAGGTGGGCGAGGGAGGGATGATGCAGGGGCTGGGGCAGACATACAGGCTGTCTGAAGGTGCAGAAGGAGTGACAGTGAGATTTTGCACAGCTCTTGGTTCCTCCTTGGGCTCTGCAAACATTGCAGAACCAACCACTACCAAATGGTCAGCTGGCCCAGGCATGCAGGAGCCACCAGGGAGGCTCTGCTGTGCCTCCAGAGCCACAGAGAACAGGGATTCTCCCATTCATGCTCTGATGACTTTGGGTTTGCCCAGGCCAAAGCAATTTAGTGGCCCAGGAAGGACAAGTTACCTTAATGGCAGCTGCCCTGGCATGGGAGCACCAGTGCCTACCAGAAGCTGTCTTTCCCTGCAGGACCTCATTGGTGGCTCGAGCAATGAACACAATCCCTTCATCATCTTCTCTCTCCGTCTCTGAGCCATCACTCTCCTCCTCCTCAGAGCTGATCATCACCAGGACAGGAGCTGCAGCCAGATGGAGGGAGTTGCTTTGAAGGCTGGGGCATCCTGTGGGGGAGGACTGCACCCATGGGAGAAGGACTTGGTGCTAGTACAACCACTTGTGCTGTCGTGCCACCATGCTGGCAGTAGGCAGGCACAAGGGGCTGCTCCCATCCCATCCCATCCCATCCCATCCCATCCCATCCCATCCCATCCCATGCCACCCCACCAGGTCCCCATGAAGGACCTGCAGACCTTGCCTGCCACCCGCCTCACCAGCATCCTGCCACGGGACATTTCTGTGCATCTTGTCATTGAGAGCCTCTCTGGTCACAGAGGTGTTCTTCTGTGAAGGAAGAGGGACCATCTGGGACCTGCCCCAAGCAAACCCCTAACCCCAGCCCAGATGGCCCTGCAAGATAGGGTAACCCCAGGGACCCAGCTTCCCACCCCAGCCAGATTCCTAGCCCTTAGGCATTGCATCTTCATAGCCCTCCAACAAACAGCTCAGTTTCAATAGCTTCAAAAACCTCCAAATGAGAGAAGATACCTAAGGCTCAGTTTAAGCCACAGGGCCTGGATCTGCAGCGATGTTCAGGCTACTTTATGCTGAGTGCTCTTGGAAAACAAACATGGGGCTTCCTCAGGGCTTGGGGCTGCTTTGCCCAGAGAAAAGCCACACCACAGCAGTGCTGGGATGGTGAGGACACATGGACATATAACACCCATGTGCTCACCCAGAGCATATGACAGGCTGAGAGAGCTGGGCTTGTTCAGCCCAGAGAAGAGAAGGCTCCTTAGGGGGAGACCTTAGAGCAGCTCCAGTGCCTAAAAGGGTCACAAGAAACCTGGAGAGGGGCTTTGGACAAGGGCCTGTAGGGACAGGACAAGGGGGAATGGCTTTAACCTGACAGAGGGGACACTGAAATGAGCTCTTAGGCAGAAGCTCTTCCCTGTGAGGGTGCTGAGGCCCTGGCACAGGGTGCCCAGAGAAGCTGTGGCTGCCCCATCCCTGGCAGTGTTCAAGGCCAGGTTGGATGCAGGGGCTTGGAGCAACCTGGTCTAGTGGAAGATGTCCCTGTCCATGGCAGGGGGTTCAACTGGATGAGCTTCAAGTTCCCTTCCAACTCAAACAAGGCTGTGATTCTGTGATATGCAGGACTAAGATGAGATTAGGAGCTTTCCCCACTGTTTCTGCAGCTGCTGATGCCCTTCAGCACCTCACCTACACCCCACTGTCTGCATCCTGGGGGAGGCCAAATCTCAGAGCTACGAAAGGTGCAGGATGCTGGGGAGTGCTTGCCTTTTTCCTGCCCTTTTCCTTCAGCCTGGCCTTATTCTTAGAGAAGCAGATGTTGTGCTTTGTGGACTTGAAGGTCTCCAGCCGCCTCTTCATGTTCTGACGGAAGATTTCTTTGTCTTGGCGCTCTTGTTTATCTGGAGAGATGAAGTGACGGCTGTAGCTGGCCTTGTACTGGCCGAGGGAGAGGCAAAGAGACACAGGGTGAGCAGCTGTCCCCACAGAGCATCCTCCATCCCTGCTCCTCTTGTGGGTGCTGCTACCCTCAGGGTCAGCTGCACGCCATGGCGAGGGAGCACTCACCCGCCGGCGTGGCTTGTACAGGCTCCCTCGCAGCACGTGGTGCATGGCAGCATCCTCCTTGTCCCGCCGGCTCCGCACAGTGTCAATCACCTGCATATCCAGGCACGCGCCACTCCCACTCTCTCTCCTGAGGGGAGATGGAGGTGGAGGTGGAGATGGAGATGGAGATGGAGGTGGAGATGATGGAGATGGAGATGGAAACGGAGGTGGAGGTAGATGGAGTTGGCGGGACTGGGCTACATGCTCCCATCCTATCAGCCCTCTGCCAGCCCTGGCACAACACATCCCCAGGTAAAAGGGAAGATGCAGGAGTCCAGCGAGGTCTGCCCAGGGTCTTGGGGGGATGCTTGTACTCACAGGAAGTTTGTGACTGATGACTCCGAAATGGACGTGCGGCTGGGCATTGACGGCAGCGCCAGCTTGGCAGCAGAGAACGCATGTCCACCCTGGGAGATGGGAGGGCAAGGCTGGCAGAAGGGCAGCAAGGACCTCACTGGTCTGGGGGGTGCCCACTGCCTGGCCTGCGGGTACCTGTGTAGCCATACATGATGGAGCCACCACCCCAGGCCACCAGCTCCTGTTGGGGCCAGCCCGCCACCCAGTCCCCCCCATATGCCCCTGGTGGGGAAGCTGATAGCAACATGGATGTTCAGCTTGATACCTGGTCAACGAAGCTGATAGCATCACGGATGTTCAGCTTGTAGTAAACATCCCAAATCTCATCTCGCAGCCTGTAGGCAGATTTCCGCATCAGAAGCTGGCTCAGGTACTTCTTGTCAAACTGTTCCCACCTGCCATAAGATAAAGACATGGGTGTTTAGTGCTCAGGGGTACCACAGCCAGGGACCCCTGCCGATCTAAGGTTGAGGGTCCAAAGCATGCTGAAAGCAGACTGTGCACACAGGACCTGGCTCTGCCCAGGGACACACTGCCAGGGAGAGCAGGAGCACAGGGGGCATGCTGACCCTTCATTTCTGCCCAAGGGGAAGTCAGAGACAAGTGGGTCTGTGGGAGTGGAACTGGGGCTAATGGCTGCCCAGCTGGAGCACTTCCCCTCCAGGAAACAGGCTTTTCTCAGCCTTGTTCCTGTCGCTGTGCTGCAGATAAACCCAGGCCTTAACAGGGCCAGTCCCTTCTCAGCACCCAGCTCTCCACCCATGGAGAGTCACTGGGCCATAGCCCTATGCCCCATCCCTAGTTCAAGGCCAGGCTGGGCAGGACTTGGAGCAACCTGGTCTAGTAGATGGTGTCCCTGCCCATGGCAGGAACTGCATGACCTTTAAAGTCTCTTCCAACCCAAACCATTCTATGATTGCCACCACCACGGACACCCCATGCCCCCCCTGTAGTTCTAGCACAGGCAAGCAATGCCAGCTCCTGCAGCATCCCCAGGTCCACCTGCCTGACCTCTTTCTGGGATGTTTAGGTACTTCAGTCTGCTATATAATAGGAGGCAGATGGTCCCTTTCCAGATGGATTGATGGATGGACATACAGCCTTCTTGGTCCCCCTGCCCTGCCTATATCCAGGCTGTCCTCCAGGGGGAACCCTGCAATGTCCCTGTGACTGGCATTATGTCCCGCTTCCACCTGATGGCCCGCAGAGAATCCTGGGTAAGACACTCACTTGTCCCGCCAATAATGGTAGCCATGGTGTCCCACAATATCCTCCACTGCTGCCATGATGTGGTCAAAGACCTTGAGTGAGGAGAAGAGGGTGAGAGCAGTGACAAGGTTGCAGGTGCCCCAGGGGTGCTGACGCAGCACAGGGAGCCAGGTAGCCTTCACCTACGTGCTCATGCAGCTCCTCATTCAGCGTGGGCTTGTGGTGGTCACTGCGCTTCACCTTCAGCCACGTCACCAGGGGTTTGATGGTGAGGCCCTGGAATGCAGGAAAAGGCAAGGGAAAGACTGGGAGGGCAAGAGGGTGAGTGGCTGGGGCAAGGGAAGCAGAAGTAGCAAGAAGTCCCTAAACCATGTTACTAAGGGACATGGATTAGTGGTGGACTGGCAGTCCTGGGTTAAAGGTTGGACTTGATGACCTTAAAGGTCTTTTCCAACCCAGCTGATTTTATGATTCTATGAAGTGACTGGGAACAGCAGCTATGCCAGCAGCGCATACCCCTACCAACCTGAGCCTCTGTGCCTGGACCTGGGCAATGCTCCCATGTCCAAGGCAGCAACCATGTTGTACCCCGTCAAGTCCCCCTTCCCTTAGGAAGCATCAGCAGCATTGTAAAGAGAACATTCTCAACACACTGTTGCTGCTGTTGGAGCCAGCCCCAGAACAAGAAGCCAATGGGGAAATAATGTGGGCCATGGCCCCACCATTGCGACAGTCACCACCACAGCCCTCCACACCAGCCTGGTGATGGATGAAGTGACAAGAGGCACCAAGAACCAAAGGTCACTTGAAAAGAAGTACTTGGCCGAACCATATGTCCCCAAGCACCCGCCTGGCTCCCCAGGCCACCTCTGGGGCAGGAAGGCAGCACTGGAGAAGGGCACACTGCCCATCCTCACCTGCACAATGACAGTGAAGAACACCACCACAATGGTCGTTGCCACAAAATAGTCCTTGGCTTTCACCTTTGTCCTGTCCAGCAGGATGACCAGGGCAAAGGCCACAGCCCCGCGGAGGCCACCATATGACATGACCACTTGATCTATCCTGTCCAGAGGAATGAGGCGGAAGCGGTTGAGCACATAGGTCTGCAGGACAACACCTAGGGAAGAAGGAGGAGAGCCTGGGATGCTGGCAGGGATGCTCCTGGAGATAGGGCAAACCCCAGCCAGGAACCATGACTGGCCTCATACCCTAGCATTTCTTGGGGGACACCACTTTTTGATATGATAAGAGCTGGATTTTTACTGGCCAGAGGCACTGAGTGGCAGACTTACCCACAGCTCTGAAGAGCAGGATAAAGAACAGGGTGCCCAGCACCAGTGCTGTGTCCCATGCCCACTTGGAGGTGTCCACTGCCGAGATGCCCAGAAACATGAAGATGATGGTCTCTGAGCTACTGGCCAGTGTCTTCATGGTGTACTTGACTGTGGTGCGGGACTTCTGGGAGATATTGGCTTCTACATACTTCTTGCAGCAGATCCCACAGAAGGTGACTCTGCAGAGGGACAGGAGCTGGCATGACCTTGCGGTGGGATGAGGAGTGGGTCTGCTCACCACCTCTCACTGCTCAGCACTGCACCCCTGATTTACTGGACCCCCCACTCCATGGGATGCCCCAGAACTCACGCCAGGATGGAGGAGAGTGAGACCATCTCAGCAACAAGGTATGCAACATAGGCCAGGAGGAAAACGAAGAGTGGCTCGATGATGCGCACGTGCTTGGTGAACCGTGTGATCAGGGCCAGGAGGAAGGCAAAGAGCAGCCCCACAGCCGTGCCCCCCAGGCTCACCAGGAAGAAGGAAGCTGGTGGGGGGAGAAGACTCATCTGCAGTATAAGCAATCGAGCCCAGCTCCTGTGCCCCCATGACCATACCATGTTGGGCTGGCCCTTGTGCTCCCACCCAGCTCCCCACCAAAGTGTCCCATGATGACAGCCAGGATGTGTAGATGAGGCCCTTAGTGACATGGTTCATTGGTGGCCCTGGCAGTGCTGGGAAATGGTTGGACTTGATGATCTTGAAGGTTTTTTCCAACCTGGTTGATTCTATGATTATGATTTTATTATTACGATTATGTGACCACTGGGATGGAGATGACAGAGCTGTGGTGCTCGCTGCCACAGAGTAGGACAGCACCTGTGCTTTCCTCCAGCACTACCACTCTGGAGGAGAAGATGGAGGGGCTGGTGGGGCACATACTCACCTAACCCCTTCACGTAGTCTGTGGCACGGATATGCTCTGGGCCCAGCTCCACAAAAGAGTTGAAGACCTTGTACAGCACCTGCAGGCAAGGCAAATGCCTCGGGGAAGGCAGGGTATTATCCTGCCTTGAAAGGGACAGCACCCATGGGCAGGATGGGCCCTGCAGAAGACGCATCACCCACCCCAAATCTGCCAGGTAACACAGCTCATCTCAACCGGCAAAGTCCCACAGGGCCAGGAGAGAGGAAAGGCCGAGAGAGCATTGGGCTGTCCCTGCTTGGGGATGTCACCTGCATCCTCTGCCTGTCCTGGGGGGCTCCAGCACTCTGGCCCAAACCTGGCTCCACATTAGGGTCCCTGAACCTCCAACTCACCACAGTGACAGCATCATTCAGGAGAGACTCGCCAAACACGATGATGAAGAGGGTCTCATTTACATGGACCTCTTCAAAGACAGCCAGCACTGCCACAGGGTCCACAGCTGAGATGAGGCTGCCGAAGAGCAGGAAATCCATCAACCCAGCTTCAACGCCTGGATCTGCTAGGACAGAAGGACAAGTTCAGGCAGACCATCTGCCCCAGAGTCCCTCTCATCAGTCTGAAACAAGCCAATCCCTCATCTGCTCCTGGTCATTTGGCTGCAGCATCCCACCTTGGGATGCAGTGGGCTGAGACATCTGGGGTCTCCCAAGCAAAGCACATTCTTGCTGCAACATGAGGGCAGCAGGGCTTCGATGTCCCCCTTGCACCCAGGTGCATTGCTGCCCCTTCAGTAAGTATGGACCGAAGGAGGCTTAGCAGCCCCACCTCAGGTCCAGCCATCAAGTGGTTTCTGGGGACTCAGGAGACCTCAAACCACACCCCAGGCCCCCAGAGGCCGGTAGCTCAAGCCAAGGACAGGGAACACAGCAGTGAGCCAACAGAGCTAGTCAAACTCTGGGACAAAAACAGCAAAGACATGAGTCACCCAGTGGCAAGGCAGACCCATTTGTCCTGCATACTTGACAGTCTTGCAGAGCACTGTTCCTGCTATAATTCCTGGGAGTCCATGGCAGGGCCAGGCAGTGGACTCTGAACTTGGGGGCACTTTGCACCTCCAACTCACCTCTTGGGTTGGGTGATGGGGATGGTTGGTTGAGTCAGGGATGTGGTCTAAGCTGAACAGCCGTGTGTACGTACCCATGACACCGGCCCGGTGCAGCCCCCAGAGTGCAGTGCCAGTGGTGAAGGAATTCCAGAGGGTGCCCACCACCGCGTAGGTGAGGATGGCACCGATGTTGTCAAAGAACAGCCTGCTGGGCATGAAGTAGCCTGAGTCAAGCACGATGGGGGGCAGAAGGAAGAGGAAGAACATGCTGGGCTCCAGCTGGTACTCAGGTTTCTTCGCCACAGCCAACACAATGCCCCCCAGGCCCAGCCCCAGCAGGATGAGGAGGCAGCTCTCCGGCACGATGGATGTCACCTTCCTTGACAGGTGGAAAACTAAAAGGAAAGGAGGAATGAGAGCATCAGCCAAACAGACAGAGAATCTCAGATCCATAAGCTTCACAGAGGGTTTAGCTGACACATGACAGACGCCAGGGAGGACAAGGGAGCACTTGAGGCAGCTTTGTGGCCATGTGTGCACAGACCTTCCAGTTAGCTCCCACGTTAGGACTTCAGGTCCCTGACCTTTTGGGATCTTCCTTTCCTCCTCAGCCACTGTCTATCAAGCCAAGCAGACAGGCATTTTGCTTTGCTTGGCCTCTGGTATCTGCCCTTAACGGATCAAAGCAGACAGCAAGCACGTTCACAGTGTCACAAGCAATGCTGGCTGCTGTCTTGAGACATCCTGGTTCACCGGGACACATTACCCCACTCAGAGATGAGGATGCTCAGCCCTGGTGATGAGGTGACCTTGTTTGCAGCCATCTGAGCAAGCAGGGGGAGCAGCATGCAAAACACTGCAGCACTAGGCAGTCTCCATGCCCTCAGCACCAGCTAAACTACCTGCATGCAAAAATCAGGCACACAGGAGCTGCAAATCTAGAGATGAGTTTATTCCCTATGAGGTTTGGACCAAATCTTAAGCTGCCACAGATCAGGATATATTTTTAAAGCCTGCAGGTTAAGTTCTGGTATTCATCCATCAGCAACGTGGCAGTGAGCCTGCAGCTCAGGCACAAGCCAGTAAAACAGGCAGCCTTGTCCCCAACGTCAGGGCATCCTGTGTAATCACAGATCATTCCAGCTTTCTGGTGGGCAAGCCCCCATCCCTGAGGATTTCTCCAACCTAGAGTAGGGTGCTGTATTTTTGGTACCCCTCAAAGGGCAGTGCTTGGGGCAAGGCTGTTGAGGGTCACAGTGGTTTTGCTCCCCTCATTGTTGAGTTCTGCATTCATCCAGCCCACCTCTGTAGCTTGACTTGGCCATCAGATGAAGAAACCTCCTTTTGTGCATTGGGCTCCGGAGCCACCTCTGTCCTTGAGCAGCCAGCAGGTACAAGGGACAACACGGCAGCCTCTGAGCCATCACATGGCTGCAAGCCCAGCCCTGCTGCCAACCCAAAACCAAGTCCCTAAAGCCCTTTAGCTGGATTAGAGATGCCTGTTGCTTGTGCCAAGTCATCCTGCCAGAAGGAAAGCTGTGCTGTGGTCACACACCAGCCCTAGGTCACTTGGCTTCTTTCCTCCTCAGGAACCCCCATGGACACACCTTAAGTTCTGCTTAGGCCAGGGTCCTGTCTCCAGTGCCATAGACCTGGAGAGGAGCCCAGGAACAGGGAGCACTTCTTCATCAGGTTTCCATGCCCTTGACTTTTCCCTTTGAATCTGTCCCAGCCCTGCTCTATCCTTTCTGGGGCAGGTCCCAGAGTCCCTGAGGTGCAGACACCCTGGAAAGTGAGGCCATCACCTCCCATTCTTCCTTTCTTGTTTCCTGAGATCCCTTAGTTGATTTGCTTTTCTTTGCTGCAGCTGAGCACTGAATTAGAGGAGATAACCTCAGAGATCTGGTTCTTAACTAGAGACAACATTTTTGAGCCCACCATCAAATGTGCAGGCTAAGGGCTGCTTTTCCTCCTGCTGAGACCTTCCAAGTGACCGGCACTGCTCCTTGGCATGGTGAGCCATGTCCGTGCCATCTTGGTGAACTCCAGCACTGCTTCCCTGCCATAACACACCAGGAACGCTGCCTCAGCCATGAGCAAAGGGGCAACCACCTGAAAGGGAAAGAGCTGCAGAGCACCCATGGCCAAGCCTCCATCATGGCTCTGTGGCTTGGCTGCAGAGCCTAGGGCGTCACATTTACCTTCATCTGCCTCCGCTTGATCCAGCCATGGAGGCAGGAGCAATATGGACTCTACAGCCTTCCCAGCCCACTCGCAGCCCAGAGAAGGGCTGGCTGAGCTCCAGCCCAGTGGAATTCCCACTAAATGACCGCAGAAGCTGTGGCAAAGCCCCGTTCACCCCACATAAGCCAGGCAAAGGCAGCGCTGGTGGGTACACGGTGCCTGTAGCATGCTGCAAAATCACTTCCCACCCACAGGAACACAGCTCCCAAGTTTTCCAGAAAGGAACAAGGCGTCCGGCCTCTTTTGCACACTTGGGATCATTGCCAAGATCGCTGCTCCAGCAACCCATCTGCACTCTCTGTGCTGCAGAGATATGCCCTGCCTGGCTAGAGAGATTTGAGAGAGCCCACAGAGATGCTATGGGGACATGGCTCCTGGCTGTCATCCATCATTCCTTCCCCCAGGCCAAAGACTTGGGCAAAGAAGACAGCAGCATCAATGGGAAAGACCTTGCTTGTCCACAAAGCCCTTGGCTGAGGGGGAATGCTGCCATCCTCCCAAGTGAATAACAGCACACGAGCTCCTTTGTGCCGCAGGAAGCAGCCAGCGGGGACGGATAGAACGAGCTCTAATTTTACACACGCTAGTCAAGGATTTCAGTATTAAAGGTTCCCACAGCAACAGTAACTTAGCCACATGTGAATTAACTTCAGAGCCATAATCCACTCTCAGGCATTTATAATACATGATTTGCCATTGGGAAGACTCGGATCCAGAACCTGCCTCTGCTCCTCTGATGCTGGGAGAACGGTGAAACACCTAAACCAAGACATGAGCACCTGGGAACAGAGGTGATGGTGCAAAGGGAGAGGGCTGTGACCCATGGGGTGCTGCCAGGTGGAAAAAGTTGCTACCATTGCACTTAAATTCAACGGCAATTCAGCCCTTGACTTCAAAGGTAACCAAATTCTGGCCAAGGAACATCATTAGGTGTTCAAGGCCAGGTTGGATGGGGCTTGGAGCAACATGGTGTAATGGAAGGTGTCCCTACCCATGGCAGGGGGTTGGAAATGGATGAGCTTTAAGGTCCTTTCCAACACAAACCAGTCTGGGATTCTATGATTCTGGCAAAGTATTGCCAAAGGGGCAACTGTGGGAGCATGTCTGGGGCAATGCTGACCAATTCCCTCTCCCCACACCCGTTCAAGAAGACCTGTGCTCTGACCAGGGACGGAAAAGGCAGCAAAACCCGGATGATGCCTCGCTGTGCAGGAAGGCAACACCCAAGCCAGTTTCTCCCCGCCCCGGGTGTTTGCTGGCCTGGGGCACCCTGGCATCGTGACTGCCTCAGAGAACAGAGACCACACTGTCATTTCCCCATCACTCAGGCGCAGGGCCGCTTCCTCCCCTGCAGTCACAGGGCTGTGAGCTGGCAGCCCAGTGCCACAACTCCAATGGCTCCTCTACACCAGCCTACACCATGGTGCTGCAGCCGGCGCTGCCCCTCTGCTCCAAAGCATCCTTCACCCCTGGCTCCACCTCCTCCAGGCTCCTGTGTGCCCTGGGGACCATGTGTGCCACCTCCAGGGACACCAGCTGCATGGTCCCCTGTCAGGGAGCATGAGATCCTGAGGCCATGTGGATATGGTGTGACCTCCTGGACAGGACTGCTTGCAGCCCTGCCCCCAGGTGTGGATGTTGCTTCTGGTTCCAGGCTCCCAGTATCCATTGGACTCACTGGATGCACTGAGCCAGGCAGCCCAGAGCTACTGACCACCAGGGTTGTGTCTCCCAGGTGACAGTGGCCATCAGTTTGCCTCAGGCCTGGAAGAGCATGGCGGGGTTGGGGACTTGGGAATGGCGCCAGCTTGCCCCCCCCCCAGCATCCCTGATCGGACAAGGCAAGGGTGGTGATGGGAGCACATCAAGGAAAATCCACACAGGGAGCAGCTCCAGGGAGGTGCTTCAGAGAATCAAATAAAAGCCACAGAAAGGAATCGCCTCTCTCATCTTTTGCAGGTAGGAGAGATGCACTCAGCAGCTGAAGGTGGCAGAGCTGGAGACAGAGGGTTACATTTTTAAGCCGACAACATCCTTTAATTCATTCCTCGTGATGCTATAGATCTCCCTTGTGAGAAGGCGAGAAAGGAGAGAAGCACAAGCTCCATGGTTGTGGGTTCAGTGATCCTTGGGGATAGGCAAAGACCAGCTGGTGCTCACAGCAGAGGCTGAATACTGCATACCGAGACCTATTGCTGGTCTCTGGCTGCTCAGAGTCCCCCCCCACCTAACTCTGAACCCACACTTCTTGAGCCAGCTCCAAACTATGGGGGTGCCTGTGCCCCCTGCCACAGGGGCTGTGCCCACAGTGTGACCTCTGAGGAGGAAACAAACCTGCCTCAAGGTCACGGTCTCATCCCCTGGGCCCAGCACAGGGGTACTATTGGGGATCAGACCTCTGGGGACCCTGGTCAGCACCCACACATGAACATCCCCTCCCCAGCACCCAGGGTGCGGGGGAGAGCACAGCCCTGCAGCACCTCACCCACCACCTCCTTGCACCTTCCTCCTCCTCCTTGCCTCCCCCCTGGCTGCGTGGTCTGGTGCTGGGGAGCACAAGAGTCTGAGGCCATGTGAATGTGGAGTGGCTGACAGCAGGGGATCACAGGCACAAGCCCATCTCCAGGCTGCTGGGGACACGTCTTGTCCCACACCTGCATCACTGGGTGCACTTCCTGGGGCTGGGGGGCTACCAAGCAGTCTGCAGTCCAGCTGATAGCGTGCGCTGTGCCAGCCGCCGGGGCATGGGACATCTTTTGGAGGCATCTCTGCTCAGCTCTTCTCATGAGCCCTCCCTCTGTGCCCACCCATCTATCCATCAATCGCAGGGAAAACGGGTCCAGGCCCCTGCGTTGTTCCTCGGGCTGTGCCTCCACTTCGTCCCACGGAAGCGGATGGGGGATGAGCCGTGGGGTCGTGCCGGGCACCGCAGCCCTGGGAGGCAGTGGCACCCGCCACCTCGCATGCAGGGATGTCGTACCCCACCCTACCCTTTCCGCGATGGGCGCGACCCCGGGGGCCCGGGGCTGGGGAAGGGGTGGAGGTGGACAGGACACACGGGCACTCACCGATCTTGGCTAGGCTGGCCACCAGGATCCAGGCGGCCACCAGGCAGGGCGCCTGCACCTCCTGCCACTGCCACCGCAGCAGCTCAACGCTCTCCGGGGCGGCGGGGCCAGGGGAGGCCGCCGGCGGCTGCATGGCCGCATCCCTCCGCGCCGCTCCCCGCCGCTTTGCCTCGATACCGGCCGTTGCCCGCGTCACGCGCACGTCCCGCGCCGGGCCGGCCCCCTCCGCCCCACGCCACCGGCTCCGCCAGCCCCTCCCTCCCGCCAACCCCCTCGGTACCGCTGGGAGCCCCGAAACGGGCCCGCACACCCCGCTCCGCCGCGCCCCGACTGCGCCGGCCCCGGCCCCGGTCCCCTCCAGTGTCCCTGCATCACCTCCGCTGTTAAGCTGCCACACCTCAGCCCCCTGAGCCGGATACAGTTCCCTCCCAACAGCATCAGCCTGGTGCCGCTGCACCGGTCCCTGTACCCCCCTACCCCATGTCAGACCCCTGCCCCACTCCCCCCTGCAACTTCTCTGGTGTCCCCTGCCCTGCTGCTCCCTGACACCACCCCGGTGCCTCCCGTGTCACCTCAGTGCCCTGTGTCCTCCACTGGCACCCCTGCTCTGCCCAAGTCCCCTTAACCCTGGCTCAGCCCTCCTGCACTCATCATGTTCGCAGTCTCCTCAGTCCCCCTCCTGCTGCCAGCCAAGACCACCCATTCCTGCCTCAGCCGCTCCCCGAGCACTGGTCTGGAAGTATTCCAGAGGGGTCCCCCTTCCCTCCCCAGCCCCTCTTAGACACCCCTAAGAGCTCCCACTTGCCCACCAAACCTAGGCTGTCCACTCTGCTCCAGGAGGTGCCCCATCTCCCACATCCCATCTCTGTGGTCCCAGATCCAGGGCCTCATGGCCTGGGCGGACAGTGAGGGATGCCCAGCTGCCTGAGGAGCAGTGATGCTGACTGGCAGAGGGCAGGAAGGCATGGTATCAGCACACTTCACGGGGAGCCAGCTCTGAGCTGCATCTGTGTGTCCCTCGAGCATGGCAGAAGGACACCTTGTCTGTGGAGACACAGGAAAGGCCTTGCGAGGGCTGCCCTGAGAAGCAGCTGCCTCCTGTTTCCCCTTCAAGCTGCCAAAGGTGTAATTAAATCCCTCTTTGCCTTGCCTCCCACAGGCTGGTCCTGCCCTGCTGCCCTGGCCTCTTGGATCCAGCCTGTGCTACTGCATGGAGGTCTCTGCAAAGCTCCCCTAGTCTGTTCCCACCTCTCTCCTACTGGGAGCCAGGAGAGAGGGGAACGCCGCTTCATTGTGTTGGGCCATTGGCACTGCCCAGTATGCAATCAAAAAGGTGAAATCACCTTTGCTAAAGCTTTTCCTTGAAGGCTTGTGGTTTGTGCTGAGTGCACGGGAGATTAAATCTGCCCGTGTCCCCATTCCTGGTGCAGCCCCGCTTCTCCTGCGGGTCCTCCCAGGGTTCTGGCTCCCCTTTGCATCCTCCTCCTGAAACTCACCTTCCCAAACTCACCATACAACACTACCCTGTCCGTTTTGGACGTTCTCGTTAACAGCAACACCCTGCATGCGCAACGATCTCGTTTGCATCAACACCGGCCTTGGAGGCACTAAGCTGCCCCGTTCTCCCCCAGCTCTGGGGTGAGTAAGACCCACCGGCACCCCGGAGCCCCACGGAGCCCGCTGGAGCATCCCCCAGACCCCCCTGGAGCCCGCCGAAGCATCGCCGGAGCCTCCCCTGGAGCATCCCCCGGAGTCCTCCGAAGCTTCCGCCGGATCCCTCCAGAGTACTCCTGGAGCACCCCCTACAGCATCCCCCGGAGCATCCCCGGGAGCCGTCCGGCGGCCGCGGGAGGGCGCCCCGAGCCCCGAGCGGTTCGTATCGGAGGGGGCGTGGCCGGGAGGGGGATGGGGGCGTGGCCATCCTAGGGGGTGTGTTCGGGGGGGTGGGCTCGGAGGGGGGCGTGGCCTCCTGCGCAGCTCCGGTGGTGGAGCGGCGGCCGCGGTGGTGGCGTCATGGCGGAGGTGGCGGTTCAGTGCCGGATCCAGTACCTGGAGGACTCGGACCCCTTCGGCTGCGGCAGCTTCCCGGAGCCACGGCGAGCCCCCGTTTATGCCGTGGTGGAGGCGCTGCCTCTTGGGGCGCAGCTGCCCTCGCTGCACCGCCTGGTCGGGGCTCCGCTGCCGGTGAGGGGGAGCCACGGGCGGGCGGGGAAGGCGGGCAGGCACAGGGCTGGAGTCGGGAGTGGGCTGGAAGGAGCGCGGAGGGGAGGTGAGGGACTGGGCGGTGTGCCCCCGCCGGAGCACGGACAGTGCTCCCGGTGTGAGTCACGGCGGAATCCGTGAGCCCTCTGCGGGAGATGCCGGTTCTCGGCCGGCACCGGATGAGTCGGCGGGGAGGAAGAGAATGTGCTTGCTCAGAGCAGGCAGGAACCCGGGCAGAGGGAAGCAGGATGAGGGCATGCGTCCATTCCCATCTCGTCGGGGCTGACCCAGGCAGCGGTCTCCTACCCCAGCATCCACCCTTCACACTCGGTTCCAGGAGCAGAGCAGAGCCGAGCCCCGAAGGGAGCACACCGCTCCCTGACACCGGGGGGACCGGGCCAGCATCCCCACTCACTGCAGCGCGCGGGCTCTGGGGAGGTGCCGGTGGGGCCGGAGGACCACAGGGCTTCACCCCGCCGGTCCACCGGCAGCCTTTAGCGGAAACTTGTGCTGAGCAATTTCCTCCGTCCAGGAGGAAGGCAGGAGGCCGAGGCCAAAGCCAAAGCAAGGCTCCGTTTCTTGCTTGTGTGGCCTCAGGCCTGCTCCAGGCTGGGTAAAAGAGGCTAGGGAGAAGGGGACCTTCCCTTTGGGGTGTCTTGCTGGAGTGGTGCTGTCAGAGCATCCTTTACAGGGTGGGGATAAGCTTGTTTTCCTTATGAGTGTGGGACCAGCAGAGCTTTGGCAATAGTTGAGCACTTCTGTCTTGCAGCACGGCAGGAGTGCAGGCAGGAACCCAGGCAGGCAGGGGCAGTGTACCCTGCCCATAGCTGGAGAGGACAGATGGAGGCAGCAGGAGGGGGAAATCAGTTTCATGTGCCTGGCACTGCGCTTGCTGCCCTGCCAGGGAGAGGGGATCACTGCGAGACTTTTGCCTGCACCACAAAACATTCCCTTTTAACCCACTTTTCATTTTCCTTGGAGCAAAGCGGCAGTGTCTCGTGTCATCGTCATCATGGGATTTTTAGGTGGTGACTAAATGGAGTTTGTTTGGGAACAACCAGCCCCGAGACATGACGAATGGAGCAAACTCAGATTTCAGGCGTGTGCTCTCCTCGCGGGCAGAAGCTGGCTGTAACGGGATCGCCATCCGGGGGTGCTGTGTGGTGACACGGGGGGGCTGGGTATGGCGTTCCCTAGGACAGGAGTGCTGCAGACTGGTCCTGTGTGCAGGAGAGGCGTGTTGATCTGGGATTTCGGGCTCTGTTCTCTGCCTAAGTCAAGCTCTGGATGTTTTTTTATCTGTGGTTTTCCTGCATCTTGTAACTCTTGGTGACAGTTGCAGATAGGACCCTGCTTTGGGTTTATAAGGCAGAGTCCTCATTTATATGAGTTATATAGATTATAAACCATGATCCCTTTATTACGTAGAGCTTTCTGAGCCACAGCCCAGCCTGACAATTTGGGATGCTGGCTGGGATTTGCATGAGACGATGTGTTCATTGGGAGCCTCTGCACCGGGATTTACAGCCTGTGGAGCAAGGTCACTCTCCCGAGCCACCTGGTTCAGTCCAAATGTAGAGCTGGCACCCTGGAACTGCTCAGATGTCATTACACTGGTACGATGAGCAGAAACCTTCCTTGGTGCCCCTCGTGCCAGGTAGTGCTCAGCTCCATTACTCGCTGCCCTAAAATTAGTAAATGAACAGTCAGGTTTTTCCCAAGGAACTAGCTGTTAATAAGAATCAGCCAGGGGTGCCTGGTGCCAGGCTTGTTCTGCGGGGCAGCGTGCCCAGAGCTGAGCAGCACAGGGAGGAGGATGCAGTGGCTGTCAGAATGCAACCAGAGGTCCCCACATCACCAGAGGAGGATGAACCATAGAACCCCAGGGGTTCTGCCGTGGGGGACCAGTGGCATCCTGCCCTCCCTGGGCACAACAGAGCTGCTCCAGAGCTGGGAACAGCCTGGATAAGATGAGCAGGATGTTTCTCATACCAGTATCACTGCCTTGAACAGCCTGTCCTGCCCCATGACACCCCCAGTGCTTCCTCTCCTGCAGCTCAGCCCACCGCTGATGACTTTTTCATGCTGTCCGGAAAACGTGTTTGTGCTTGGAAATACCTTCCTGCTTTGTTTGTGCTGCCTCATTGTTCAGCTGCAGGCTGATACTATCTTCTCCTGCTCTCCAGCATTTTTCTGGTACCCTTGGGTGATGCTCGTGCTGGGCGTGGGCCTTGTCTGAACCTCCACAAGCAGGTTTTGACAGGGAAGGTCCCCAAATGCCGCTGCACTACCTTGCCCCAGAGATATAGGGATTTTTCCAAGTAATTGCATAACGCAGGGGCTGGAGCATTACTTTCCCCTTCCCCCACTGGAAACCCAGGGAAAGCAAACAGCTCTCTGTCCTTGGTGCCAAAAGCTCACTGCAAGCCCTCAGGCTTGATAGAGGAGAGCTGCTTGTGCACTTACGAAGTGCGTGAGCCCCATCCCGCTGCCCCATTGTCCTCTATTTCCTAACTGGCTCAAGGGGGGCTTTGCCAAAGGTCTTTGCCCCGCTTCACCTCAGACAGGCATGGAAGTGGTGAGATGGGGTCCGCAGCAGCACTTTGAAACTGCTGTTTGCTTCTTGCCAAATGGTTAGGGCCGAGTGCTGGTGCTCAGCAGCCTCTGGTGATTCCCAGCTCCCAGCAGTGTCCATGCATGGGTCCCAGGGTGGGAGCTGCAGACAGGCTTCATTCCATGGCGTTGCCGGGGTGCCGGCTGCTCACTGGGACTGGGATCCTCCGGTTGCCTTGGGTCTGTTGGTGAGAAACATGGGCTCTGTTAAAGAGCAACAAGCCTGGCTGGAGGAGCAGCAAGGACCGTTTGCGAGCAGGTGCGCAATTCTGGGCCAGCTCTGGGTGACCTCCAGGGACCCCTCCTGGCCCTGGGATGGATTTTCCCCCCCATGATAAGGTAATGGCAGTGCTCCCATCCA